TTATGCAGAAAAATAAACTGAACAACTTTTACCTCAAGGTTATATAAAAATCATTCATCAAATTAAAAAAAATAATAATAATAATCGTCAGTTAAACTCAGACTTCCTAGCCAATTTTAGCGTATTCTTTATTACCCTGTGATTCAATTTTTTTTTTTCAAGTTTGTTTGAGTTTATGCGAATGGTCTCCGTCAGGTTCCCTACAACATTTCTTATTTTTACGGGCATAGCGCGCACCGCCCGCACCGTGGTTAGTTCTAGTATGTAGAGGATGATTAACTCTTGTTTTGTCCTCTTCTTCACTCTCATTTGAATCGTCACTCCTCCCCTTGTGAATTCATGCATTTGGGTGAGTTAAACTCATTTTTTTCTCCCTTTCTCCCCACTTTTTCACTTAAAAGCAAATCGCTACTTTTGTCCATGCTTGTTCTAGCGTTTGAATGGTTCCTTTCATCTACATTGCTCATTTCTCACATGATGGCATTCCATTTCATGCTTGGTTGCATTCATGAGCCACAAGCATAAGTTTGAGCAAAAGTCTCATTCACATGCATGACTCAACTCTCACATCAGGACATTCGGTTTCTTGCTTGGTTGCATGCATGAGCCAGAAGCATGTGTTTGAGCAAGTCTCACTCACATGCATGGCTCAACTCACACATGAGGACATTCCGTTTCATGCTTGGTTGTATTCATGAGCCACAAACATCTGTTTGAGCAAGTCTCACTCACATGCATGACTCAATCCTCACATGATGACATTCCGATTCACACTTGGTTGTTCTTCCACTCATGTGCATGTGCTTTCATTAGTTCCACCTTCCCCTTGTCAAGTTCATGCTCTTGGTAGTGTTTCGATTCACACTTGGTTGTTCTCCCACTCATGTGCATGAGTTTTCACTAGTTCAACCTTCACTTTATCAAATTCATACTCTTGGTAGTGTTCCGGTTCTCATTTGGCTGTTCAACTTCCCATGTGCTTGTGCTTTCACTCTCACTTGTCAAGTTCGTGCTCTTGGTAGTGTTCCGGTTCTCACTTGGTCGTTCAACTTCTCATGTGATTGTGCTTTCACTCTCACTTGTCAAGTTCATGCTCTTAGTAGTGTTCCGGTTCTCACTTGGCTGTTCAACTTCTCATATGTATGTGCTTTCTCTACTCTCACTCTCTCCTTGTCAAGTTCATGACTTGGTAGTATTTCGATTCTCATTTGGCTGTTCAACTTCCCATGTGCTTGCGCTTTCACTCTCACTTGTCAAGTTCATACTCTCCGTAGTGTTCCGGTTCTCATTTGGCTGTTCAACTTCTCATATGTTTGTGCTTTCACTACTCTCACTCTCATCTTGTCAAGTTCATACTTTTGGTAGTGTTCCGGTTCTCACTTGGCTGATTCAACTTCTCATATGCTTATGCTTTCACTCTCACTTGTCAAGTTCATGCCTTGGTAGTGTTCCGGTTCTCATTTGGCTGTTCAACTTGTGCTATCACTCTCACTTGTCAAGTTCATGTCCTTGGTAGTGTTCCGGTTCTCATTTGGCTGTTCAACTTCTCATGTGTTCGTGCTTTCACTACTCTCACTCTCATCTTGTCAAGTTCATGCTCTTGGTAGTGTTCCAATGTCGGGACCACTGGGTCATGAGATAAGTCTTGCCCGTCGAAATGCGGTATACCGGAGAATTGTGCACGATAGAGAAAACCGGGGGCAAGAAAAAAAAAAAACAATGCTAAAGTACTAGCGCTGGGGACAGGGAGGTTGCCCAGGTCGCCGGAGCCACGCGACCAAGGAGAAACTAGCGGAATGGCAAGCGGCGAGAGACCGTAAAAAATTAGCAAAGGCGGCACTTCTCCCGGAAGGGAGAAGAACCGTAAGGAAAAGTGGTGCCACAGGGAGCACGACGCAGGGAGAAAAAAATTGAAAAGAAAAGAGTAAGTGGGGTGCCGGCGCGCGAGGACGTGACCCGGGCCAAGAGGGCTACCGGGGTGCGACATCAAGAAGGTCAAGGGGCCATGGGCCAAGTAAAGAGCCACAACCGGCGAGATTGGCCCACGGAACGTGAGGAAGACAAGGTGCCGAGAGCCACCGGCGGGACAAGTATCGAGGGCCACCAACGGAAACTAGCACCGGCAGGGCCACCCACGGGACTAGTGTCGGGGACTAGCACGGGACAAGTAGCGGCGGGACCACTAACAGGACTAGTGCCGGGGACTAGCACGGAACAAGTGTCGGCAGGACCACCAACGGGACAAAGTGTCGGGAACCACCGGCGGGACAAAGTGTCGGGAACCACCGGCAGGACAAAGTGTTGGGGACCACCGACGGGACAAGTACCAGTGGAACCACTAGCGGGATTAGTGTTGGGGACTAGTACGGGAAAGTGTCGGGGACTTGTGACGTTCCGATGAAAAATTATGGCATGCCGCGAAATGCAAATAATTAAAGCAAGGCGCACCGTCAAGATCGAGGATCTTAACGGCCAAGAATATTAGCACCACAAGCATGAGCGCTAGTGGGAGCAAGCGGGAAGGCCAAGGGAAAAAGAAAAGGCAAAGAAACGTGGGTGTAGAGGCGTGGGAGCAATCCGAAAAATCTCGAATTGATCTTCCCCGAGAAAATGGGACCAGGAGAGCCTCCATGAGAAAATAGGCCTCCGGGGGAAAATCAAAATATGGGGGCCTACCGTTTGGAAGAGGTAGAGGCAAACAGAGGCTCCCATGGGCATGGAAAGGCTACAAGTGCAGTTCGAGAAATAACGGACTGACCCTTGGGCATGGGAAGGGCCAAAACAAAGAGGAGGAGCCTAGAAAAGGGCCTTAACGGCTAGTTGACACTTGGCATGCAAAAAGAAAAAAAATAAGGAAAAGAAAAAGAAAATGAAAATGAAAATGAAAATGAAAATGAAAATGAAAGTGAGAAGTGAGAGAGGATGAGTGAGTTGGCCATCAATTGGGACTGCAGCAAGTAGGGACTGACAAGTCCCTACTGTCCACAAGGGGAGGAAAARAAAAAAAAAAAAAAAAAAAAAAAAAAAAAAAGTCAAAAGGGCACTAACAGCCAAAAACGATCATCTAGGGGGTGCTTTTGTGACCAGATTCATTCTGGCATATGTCGGTTACAAAGTATCTTGTTTTTTTTTTTTATTTTGCAGAGAAAATAGAAAAAAATCAAGGCCCCATGCAACCGAAAAATAACGGATTACATAGGAGAGGCCAAACACATGTTTTAGGTGCACCGGGAGCCAAAATGAGGACCGGATGCACTTGGAAGTTGGWCGTTTCTTTTTCTTTCAATTTGGGGCTAGTTGTGGGGCATTGGGGCTAGGGAATTGACCCCTATTGCAGTCCGAGTTGCAACGGACTGCATGGGGGAGGCCAAACACATGTTTTTGGTGCATCCGGAGCCACTACTGAGCCCGGATACACTTGGAAATCAAACGCTTCATTTCCTTTTAGCATGGGGCAAGTTGTGGGGTTGTGGGACTAGGGAAATGACCATGAATGCAGTCCGAGAAATAACGGACTGCATAAGGATGCCTAGGCTAAGGGAAAATGAGCCACGGCAAGCCCAAAAGGCTAGAAAGAGGTGATTTCGACATGGGGCAAGTGGAGACGGTAAACGACAACCGTGAGATGAGATCTCACGGCCAAGAAAAATCGGCACACACGCGGCACCCAGGAAGAGATATTGGGATTGTTGGGGGCAGGGGGGATCCAAAAATAAAAATGGGACGTCGCCCGGGGTGTTGTCGGGGACCAAGTGGGCCCAAATAATAAAAGTGGAAAATGAGATGCGCACCGACGGCACCGCCGGCGGGGCAAAAAAAAATATAAATGAGACTAGTACGGGAGGACGGCGGGGACTTGAGGTGTCCCAAGGAACAACCTCAAGCCAATAGGGGGAGTGGTTGCGCGAGGCCAACGGCGCCGTCGAGATCGGAGATCTTGATGGTGGAAAATATTAGCACCACAAGCACTAGTGGGGTCCAAACGGGAGACCTAGCGGTAAAAAGAAAAGAAAAACGGGAGTTGGGAGGGCTGCCTAGCAGTCCGAGATATTTTGGACTAGCCAGGCATGTGAAAATGAAGCTCCATGAAGCCCAACATGAGAAAACAGACTGCCATAGAAAATCGGAACAAAGGGGGCTCAAAATAGGACAAACGGTGGCAAAATGGAACCCCCTAGGAGCATGGGAGGGTCATTTTTGAAATACGGGATGTAATGGCCAACAGCCGGTCATGAACCTGGCCATGATTAAGGACCTAAGGCCTAGAAAAAGGATGCATAACTGTTTGACACTTGTCATAACAAAATTAAAAGACAAAGAAAAGAAAAAGGGAAGAAAATGGAGGGAGAATGAGACAAAACGGGGGGAGAAAAAGGTGGAGGAGGATGTGCCGGCCTATTGGATCTGCTGCAGTAGGGACTGGCAGGTCCCGATGATGACCTCATCCCTCCTAGAATGAGGGAGGGCAGGCCGGATTGTTAGGCCATAGGGCCATATCTCCACAATATTTGAATTAAAAAGGCAAAAATGAGAGAAAATGCAAAGTAGGAATGACCTGTTTTCTTTTTGACCATGAATCTGAGATCAGATCTCATAGTGGAGAGGAAACAACCGTTTTTTGTGGGCCAGCTCAAAACGGGTAGCTCCGGAATGAGGTGGCAGCCCAAAATGGAAAGAAACAAAAGAGGGAAAAAGACAGACCTGTGCATTTGGCCCAAAAAGAGAGCCAGATGCACCAAAAATTGAAAAGTTGAACTTAGGGGCTCAAATTTGAAGCAAGGACCACCATGGGGTAGCTCAGAATAATGTTGGCCTTGGATCCCAGTCTGATCCAAGGCTGAAAATGTGGCGCCACATGGAAAAATGCTCCGGCCTACCCAAGGGAGGCCAAAATCAGAAAAAGTCGAGAAAAGGACCTACAAGGCTTTTTTCTCTCAAGTAGGCTGTCCCTTGGGCCTTGGACTCAAGGGGGCAGCATCTTTCGAGTGATGTGAGGCTAGAAAAAGGCCCAAGGGGCAGTCCGAGTTGGTACCAACCACTCTGACTGCATGTACCTGACCAAAAAGAGGCCCAGGTGCCCCCGGAGAGACCTAGTGGTGAAAATTGGCCATGGGGGTACCTCGGTTCACTATGGGGCACATGGGGAGGCCCATGGGCTGGCCGGACTGCTGGTTTCAGCCTACATAAGCTGGGAGTTCAGTCCGCCACACTCCCATTTGCATGAGGAGTGCCCATGCTGCCCAAATATGCCCATGAGAGCACTACACTCACTTGGARTGAAGTGAGGGGAACCCYTGCCAGTTTGGGAGTTTAGAGGAGACTGTGAGCTAGTGTGTAAGACTCTACAGGCTAGTGGTAGTGGGGAAGGTGATCCGCCATAGCTCCCAGGCTGTGAGGAAGAGAGGAAGGCTAGAGGGAGTCTCATTAGCCCTCCTAGAGGGGAGGACTCCATAGCCATAGTGGTGGGAGTTTGTGGCAACTTGGAAGGGAGTGAGAGAGGAAGGAGGAGAAGGGCTTGAAGGGGAAGGAAGTCATAGCCAAGGGGGTGGTTGAGCAAGGAGAGGAAGGTCTTCATCAAGATTGGTACTCCATCCCAAGACACCAAGAAGGTGAGTGGAGAGGAGGGTCTCGTCCTCCTTCTTCTTCTTCTTCTTCTTCTTCTTCTTCTTCTTCTTCCTCCTCCTCCTCCCCTTCTTCTTCCTCTTCCTCTTCCTCTTCTCCCTCTTCCTCTTCCTCTTCTTCTTCCTCCCCCTCTTCTTCTTCTTCCTCTCCCTCTTCTTCTTCTTCTTCCTTTCCTTCCTCTCCCTCCTTCTCTTCCTCTTCTTCCTCTTCTTCTTTTTCTTCTTCTTTCCCAGAAACCACGGTAACCCTCTTGACAAGACTGGAGCCCCTGGCAAGCTGGCCTGTGTTTGAAAAGAGATCCTTCCACCTCATTCGTCTGTATGTTTTATGGACTATATGGACGAGGAGAAACCCACGCACTCTAGGACAACCAATTACTCTCCCTCCCAGAAGCCCAGGAAATCTTTCGGAATCTACTGCAAACAGTCATAAGGGCACAACGGAAACAGGTGAGATTCCCAATGCAGCAAAACCCAAGGATAGCGAAGGACATCAGGGGCCGATTCGAATTCTCAACACTTGCAGCAGCGAAGATGGCTACCATCAACGGATCAAGTTTAACTTTCCACGGCTGTAATTGAGAGGGCATCAGGAACCTACACGGTGGTTTTGAGGATTGGGAAGTCATGGGTTTTAGACTTAGGCCATTTAGGGTTTAGGGTTTAAGACCATCAAGCATAGAGGAAGATTACACAGCAGGAAGGCTTTGAATAACCATTAGGGGAACAGGATGAGAGGTATTCATGAGCGATTTAATTAGACAAGTAGAGTCCTTAAACTACGTCTGTAGGCTAACTAAGGCAGGGGTGAGGGGTGGTCCATCCTTCCCACAAAAAGTCATCAGTGTTGTCCACTCGGGCCTCCCAGCCATAATGGGGAGTAGCGTGTGCGTGTAAATGTTGTATCTTTTCTGACTTGCCAAGGGAATAGGAACCAGACTGCTGCTCCCCAGAACGGAAGGATTCAGAACCCAAGGGTTCTGTTTTGAGTGTTGCACTCCCCGACCGCCGATGACCCTTGATTGGTCGGCACCTACCGGTCGGGGGTTGTCAGCACCTTTTCTGGGTCCAGAACCCCTAATAACCCCACCAACACCCCCATTACACACCCCAAATACC